CCCCATGTGTCTCTCTTGCTAGTCAAATGAAAATAAGTGAATGAATAAATAAAATTAAATAAAATATCTTTTTAAAAAATAATGCCAGTACAAAGCTAGTACCTAAGGAAACATGTGGCTGGGAGAGCACTGCGGTTAATAATGCTTATGCAATTCAACAAGAGCCGACGGCTTTAGTACTAACAGGGATATTTAGGATGAAGCGATTTTTTACTTTCTCTCTCACTGTCTCTGTTTCTCTGCGGTGAAGACACACACTCTATACCCTTAAAAAGAAGGGGGGAAATGCATAGACTCAGACAGACCATTGCCAAACACAGGAAGCTCTCAGCCACTGAAGGAGGAGGAAAGGAGAGGTGAGTTCTTACATTTCTTCTATTGCTGTGTGGATACACAGTTGTAAACAGGGGTAGTGGATATTCAGGAAGACAACTATCCAACTATGGTGTTAAATTCTCAGAGTACAGCATTAGCCATGCAATGTCATTTGAAGGTGTCTCCCCAGAATTCATGTATTGAAATCTGCTGAGCCAGTAGTGTGATTAAGAGAGTGCAAGTTTACCTGCAACACAGAGTCATGCTTCGCTCTTGATTGGGCTCTTGCACGTGACGCTTTATGCCACCTTGGGATCCCTCTAAGAAGACCCTCACCAGATGCAGCTGCTTGACCTCACACTTCCAAAATCATGAGCTAAGTAAGCTCCATTCTTTATAATTACCAAACTCAGATATTTATTTATTTAATTTGTCAGAGAGCACATCCACTCTTCAGAGACAGAGAGAGAGACAGAGAGAGAGGAGAAAGTATCCCTTAGTGGGAGGCATGGTCATGCCACAATTCTTTCTCCATTTCTTCATCCTGTCAGACCTTTGGACACGCACGCATAACCACTCTGTATTTTTCAAGCTGCTGGGACAAGACTTGAAACCATGCAGTTAGCCATGTGGAATCCAGCTCCCTTCACCAGCAGCCCGCAAAGTCAGTCCCAGACTTCAGTATTTCTGTCACTGGAAACACAACAAACCAGAAGAGGCACCCTTGCTTCTCTAATTCTAATTATCCTTCTTCCTCTTTTTTCTTTGCTCACTCTTTAAAGCTGATGTTCTTGGGGCCAGCAGGTGGCATGGTGTTTGAGGTGCTGGACTCCCACATGGCCAGCCGTGGTTCAAGCCCTGGCCCTAGTGGCTTGCTTTCTTACTTTCTCTCTCTCTCTGTCTTTCTCTGGTCAAATTAAAAAATGATAATAATATTAAATAAATAAGTAATTATTTTTTAAAAAGAATGATAGCTGATGTTTCCCATAGTTCTGTCTTTGGGCATCACCTTCTTTCATTTTTGCGCTGAATTCTCTCCTAGATAATCCTTTGTATTTCTCAAACAGGTCTGATATGCTTTAACAGCAGGGCTTTTTTCTATGTCTCTCTGTAGAGACCACTTTTCTCTATTGTCTTATAAATTTGCGCTAAAAATGTAATCTCTTCAGAGAGACCGTCTCTGATCACTTATCAGCCTTTGTTCCTTACTCTGCTTTATTTTCCTTAACAACACCAATATTATCTGGCATTGTATTATATTTCCTTGCTTATTGTTTGTTCATAACATCAAAACCTTTTGTCTTTTTGTTCATTGCTGCATAAAGATTTTGCTACTCATATGTCACTGTGACAAAGTAGATAACAAATATTACATTAATGGGTAGATGAACAAATGAATGAATGGATCCCATCCTTTTCCATGGATTTGACTTCTAGCCACATGCTAGGGACTTCAAAAATCTACATTTTCCTGGGATTGCTTCATGATGTAGCAGTAATTTACTGCTCAAGAGAAAGTCAGATCCCAAGAGACAACGGCCATTCAAATTCCCAGCTTGGTCAGAACATACTAGGCACGTGTGCGAGTGCTCAGGGTCCGACGGGCCAAATGACTGGGGGAAGGGGACTACAGAGGTGGACGGTGCTTATCTCTCTCCCTCTCCCACTTATTCACATGCATGTACTCTTATCATGAAAATGAAAGAACTCTGCGTCTTCTGCCTTCTTGCTATCAAGTTCTAGATCCACTGATTTAATCACCTGTGGGCCATCACCTGCATTTAACGTGCACCAAGTCCTGCAACTTAAACTTGCTTCTCCTCTTCCATTCTCCCTTTTGCGAGTGGTTCCACCATCCACCAGTTGCCCAAGCCATTGACTTTATATTTAATTTATTCCTCTTACCCTCTATGTCTAATAAGCCACTAAATCATGTTGAAACTTCTTGACTCTATCTCCACCTTGTGATTCCCCGCCTACATAATTTATTCATTTGTCATTTCTTTTTTGAATCATTGCTTCTAACAACTTCCCTTATAACCAGTCCTGTCTCCCACCACTATGTGCTTCATCTTGTCACCAGGGAAACCTCTTTGTAATATGCACGACTGTAGTCATGCTTCATTACAGGAAGCAATGGCTCCTCTTTGCTGCACCATAAGATTTTAAATACAGCATACACAGGGACCAATAGATGGTGTAATAGTTACATCACTGGACTCCCATGTAGTCAACCACAGTTCGAGTCCCAGATCCAGCAACTTAAAACACACTAGGGTGTTTTTATGTGTGCCCAAGATCCCACAAGGAGAATGGAGGAGAAGGGATTTGGGGGTAACCACTCCTGCCAGAGGGTGATTTCTTGCTTTCTGCCTCTCTGCCTCTCTCTGTCTCTCCAGTGAATGCTTGTACCCTATAGCAAAAATCTCTCTAAAAAAGAAAAATAAAAATATAGCATCTACAAAAAGCCATTAAAATTTAGTTCCTATCAAAATCTTGAAATTTCTTGCCATATCTCCTTTCATCTCTGTCTTCCTCTGATACCACCATTCACACTAACATAATGATGTGCAAAAATAACTTATTATGGGACCAGCACTTGGCATAATGGTTACATCACTGGACTCCCATGTAATCAACCACGGTTTGAGTACCAGACTCAGCAGCTTAAACTCATTTTTGTGCTGGGCACATTTGTGTGCATGCCCAAGATCCCAAGAGGAGAATGGAGGAGAAGGGATTGTGGCATGGTCATCCCCCCTGGGGATGATTTCTCGCTTTCAGTCTCTGTTTCTGTCTTTCTGACGAGCACACATGCCCTATAGCAAAAACCTCTCTCTTTAAAAAAACAACTTATTATATCACTATATGAAATGTAATTATTTTGAGTAAATATTCCTGGATCTGATATTCAAAGAAGTATGATTTTCTTGGTTATGCAGTGTCCTCATGTTTCTGGGTAAAGGGGAGGGAGCTTAGAACTAGCATAACTGATCATGACTTCACTTCTGCCTATTTGTGGATGAGGGAGAGCTGTGTCTTCTGAAGGAGCCTATGCAGATGTGTGAGGTGAAAACTTGCTTTGTTTTCAAATTCACCATCTCCAGGGAAGATGTAAGCCTTTAGTTTGTAGTCAGAGTGTCCACCTGACACCAAGAACCTCCCCAGGTCACTGGGCTTGCCTTTAAGGTGCTGAGACTTCTTTCTATAAAGAAATATCATGGCTATCTTTATGCTGGTCTAAAGAACTTTCAGATACATTAGAGGATCCATGTACTCTGCACAGATGTATATGGAATAACTAGGACCCACGAGTCAAAGCTACAGTTGTGGCAGCTCATTCCTTGGGCTCAGTAAAAGGGCCACACTCCTGCCTGTCCAAGCTGTCCAATGGCTTGAATGGGCTGTCAGACAAGATAATGGCTTCTTCATAATTGAGGGTATTCAACAAAGCAAAGAGAGCCACTCTGTGGTTATTAGACATTTCAAAGGAATCATATTTCCAACCAGTGTTGAGGCAGATGAGCACAGATGTCCCTTTCCTGCTCTGACATTCGATTTGTCTCTGAGTCAAAGCTAATTACACAATCCTCCATTTTGCTTTGGTTGTGTAGACCTAGGCTGTGAATAACAGATGGGAAAACAGACTTTGAAACGAAAAGCCCGAGAATTACTGTGCCTATTTTTATCAGGCGGTTTTGTATAATCCTCAGATTGAAAAGAATACCCTGAAGAAACTTGTAGAATGAATTTCATTATTGGGAATTTTGTCACAAAGGAATATTTTAATAACCAATTTATTGTTAGACAATAAACAATAAGCTACTTTTATAAATACTTTTCAATGTATTGCATAAGTTAGTTTCTTGATGTTTAGTTTCTTGATGTTTTCTTGATGTTTAGTTTGACAAGAGCACTTTAAATCTTACATTCTGCTGGTTTGATTCTATAAAATGAACAACTGATAATATCCAGACTTCTAAAGGTCCAGGTTACAAAATAAGGATCAGAGAGCATTTTAAATTAGTGTAAAACCATGGGCCAAGCAGTGGTGTGCTAGTTAAAGCAGCTGGACCCCACATGGTCCACTGAGCAGGTCAAGTCCTATACTCAAGGGCTTGAAAAACCCACTGCGTACATGTCTGTGCTCAAAATCCCGAGAGGAGGATAGAGGAGAAGGGATTATGGTGTGGCCATACCCCCACCTCCCGAGGGTGTGCACACACGCTCTCTCTCTCTCCAGTGAGTACTCATGCCCTATAGCAAGTGAAATAAATAAGTAAGCAGTTTAAAGATTCAAGCTCTGAACAATTCCATATAGTATTAGAATCTGTTTAAGAAAAGAGAAACCATTCCATGTATTTCAGATAGAGTGAATTTGATACAAAAATTGGCTACATGAGTGTTGGAAAGGCTGGAGAAGTGAGAAAAAAGATCAGGTTAGTAAAAGATTCCTAACCACAGGAAATCAGGGTCTCCCTAAACCATACACCTGTGATTCAGGAGCCCAAGCCGGAACTCCGGGGCTGGCACAACTGGGCCGCCGCTGCAGCCACCGTCACCATTCCCACCGCTGGTGCTATCGACGCTGTTGCCACCATGGTGCTGCCATTGTAGCTGCTGCTGCTGGTGCCATGGAACTGTGGCTGGGGGCCCCCCCAGGGTGGCGCCTGCCACCCCAGTTGCTTTCACCGTGACAGCTGTCATACTAGCTGCTACTACCCGTAGCTGCTGCCACTGCAGGTGCTACCACTATTGCTTGTTGCCCGATAGTTGCTGTCATCGCTGCTGTCACCTGTTGTTACAACTGCTGCGGTAGCTGCTGTCACTGTCCTTGCTGTTGCTGTCACAGCTGCCGTTGATGCCACTGTAGCTACTGTCACTGTCACTACAGCTGCTGCCACTATAGATGCTGTCACTATTGTTGCTGCTGCTTTCACTCCAAACTGACACCCTGCGATGAAAAGAATTAAGAGATGGAGTTACTTCTTCTTTCTCTTACCTTCTGGGACCTCAAATGCCTTCCATTTTTCTGAATCCAGTGGGGCCGGGGAGTCAGGGAGTAAAGGGGCTTGGAAAGAGCGGTGGCATGTCAACACAACAGTCAAAGTTTGGTTATAGGTCTTATTGACTTTTATTTTCAGTTCATTAATCAGGACAGCTGGAAGCAAGGAAGCAGAGGAGGAAGCTGATCAGTTAACATAGAGTTACTTTAGGTTACCTTTTTCTATGACATAAAGCAGAGGAGACTTCCTTATTCTGTTGATTCAAGTATACTGACCTCTCCTGTCTCAGGGGGAAAAAACTGTGTTGTAGGCGCTACCTCTTCCTTACAGTTTCGGTTTGGTTATGTGGCCTTTAGCATGGGTGATTCCATTTTGGCTTGGTCTGTTGGGGCCCAGTGCTTGAGCTTAGCCCCAAACAATACTTTCCATGATTCTAACAGCGGAATCCCAGCCCACCACAATTCATACCAAGGAGAGCACAGAGGAGAGAAACAGCCCGTAAACAAAAGACCTAAGTGGCCAGAGATTGCTCAACCTTGTCCCAGTCTTTCAAAGATGGAATGAAAGTGATTTTTGTAAAGAACAAACCAATCAGATTGGAATAAACATTTAGCGAGATTCTAGAATGGGTTAATAAATGATTACTCATGAGTAGTTCCCTAGGGAGGGCATAGCCATTGGAAGCCAGCTGACCACTTGTTAATTGTGTTCAATTCTTCTAGGAACAAGATCATTAAAAGGACCAAATCTTAGCAATTCAGAAAACAGTAAATGTGGGGTATCTTGAGGTATGACTGTCTGAGAAACTCGTCCCTCATGACAGAGAGTGGGTAGGTATTTTGGGCTAGCGTATAGTCCCCCATTCCTCTGAAGCCCGCACATAAGCTACGTTCCACAGATGGAGAAGACTAAGGATATGGAGGGACCACAGAGGCTTCTTTTTTTTTTTTTTTTTTGGAGAGATTTTCACTGTAGGGCGTGTGCGCTCGCCAGACAGACAGAGAGAGACATAGAGACAGAAAGCGAGAAATCACCCCCCAGGGGGGATGGTCACACCGCAATCCCTTCTCCTCCATTCTCCTCTCGGGATCTTGGGCACGCACGCACACGCGCCCGGCGTGAGTTTTAAGCCACCAGGTCCGGGACACGAACCACGGTCGACTACGTGGGAATCCAGCGACATAGCCATTACGCTAACTGCTGGTTCCCCACAGAGGTTTCTTTTGCCATGGTAAAGGCAACCGGGACTCAGAAACCTTACTGCATGCCTTGTCTGAGGTCACGCAGCTGGTGAGTTGCAGAAGCGGGACCGCAGCTGAGATCCCTCAGCCCCGGGTCAGAGCAGTGTCTTCCTGGCCTCACTCCCCTCAAAGGCTTGCTCCTTCCCAGCCGTGTGTCATCTGTGCGAGGACGGTCATTGCCTCGTCAGGACAGCCAGTCGGCAGGGAATTGTCCAAACGCTTGTTCTCTGGCCTGCGGGTAAGCATTTGTGGAGCACTGCAGGGGAGGGGGAAGGGGTGAGGAGGGTTAAATTGTTCAGGAATATCTGTGACACCGCAGATGTGCCTGGTCATGCCTGCACATGCTGGATTCCTTCATCTCTGTATCCTCTTTCAGGTCCAAACTAGAGACTGTTGTTTACAGCAAAGGCCTAGTATCCTAATTTTATAATATATCCTGGATTTATCCTAAATGTATAATGTTGGCCTGAGTAAATGTAAGCATCCCTTCAACATTGTGTTCACCTCTAGGAAAATGACTAAACCCACGTACTACCATCAGCTAAGTCACTGCCTATACACCTGCTGCGTGCTGGGCTCTCATGATGCATTTACTCGCGTCGTTTAAATCCTGATCACAATCCTATGATGCAGCCTCTGCTTTGAGGGTAAGGAAACTGAGGCTCAGAAGGTTTTACTAGCAGAGGGACCTTGAAAGGTTGAACTCAGGTCTCCCTAATCCCAAAGGGCATTTTCTTTCCACTCTGATACTCTGCTTATTCAATGTTCACTCAACAAATATGTGTTATTATTATTATTTATTTTTTGGAACATCACAGAAATTTATCTATTTGAAAAGACATTTGTTAAAGAAATAGAAGGCCCCCCCCCTTTTCTTTTGAGAGGTTTTTGCTATAGGGCACGTGTGCTCACCAGAAAGACAGAGAGAGACAGAAAGCGAGAAATCACCCCCAGGGGGATGGCCATGCCGCAATTCCTACTCCTTCATTCTCTTCTCGAGATCTCAGGCATGGACACACACATGCCCAGCATGAGTTTAAGCCACTGGGTCTGGGACTCGAACCATGGTTGACCACATGGGAGTCCAGCGACATGGCCATGATGCCAACTGCTGGTCCCTAGAAGCCTGTTTTTAAAAACAGTCTAATACATTTATAGGTGTTGAAAGGGAACTACTACTTCTGAAAGAACCGTGTGGCTCCCAGAGAGAGGTTAACAATTAATGAGGTCCTAGACTTCATTAACCCTAACAAAATTAGATCTGGCTTTTTAAATTAAACAAGACTAATGCAAAGCTGAGGATAATTTCTGGCCTAGAGTAGAACATTGCCCATGGCTGGTCAATGTATCTCTCTAAAGACACTGAATATTTGGAAGGGCTAGTGAATTTTCAGTCTGAGGTTAATAGGAAACCAACTACACGGCAAATTTATTGTTACTGTACTAGGAAACTATTTTGTTGAAGACAAAGACTCTCTTTGGGTAGATATTTCTGGAAAGAGATTGTATTTCTTCTTGCCACATTTCTTTCCAAAGTATCTCAACTAATTGTCAATAACAGAGGCTGGCAACCTGTTTGTAGCAAGAATACAGCTTTCAACAATATGGGAAAGAATAAAGGGAGCTGTGTTCCAATAAAATTTTATTTATAAAATGGCAGAGGTGGAAACTGAACTATAGTGTTATAAACCATCAGGTAATAAACATCATTTCTATTCATATTTTCAGGAAACTTTCAAACCAAGGAAACTAAATATGTTATTTTTTTTTTTCATTTCACTGTGAATATGGATATTGGATCATTCAAAGCCAACCCAGAAAATTAGTTTTTTCATATAAGTGTCACTACACTTGTTTTAAGTGATCTGGATGGAATCTTTAGTATTAGTTTATCTGCTGTATTTCTTAGTGGATCTGCATGAAAATCGAAAATAATTCTCTGACGCTTTGGGCTGCTATAACAATACAATAGACTGGGTGGCTTAATCAGACATTTATTTCTTACAGTGCTAGAGGCTGAAAGTCCAACATCGAGATGCCAGCAGAGCCTATACCTGGTGAGGGCCTTCTTCCTGATCTACTGGCCTCTGTCTTATAGTATCCTTACATAGTCAAGAGAGATAGCTCTTTCATTTTTTTTTTTCTTTAATTTTGCCATAGAGCATGTATATAAAGGGAAAAACAATTTTTAAAAGTCATTAACTAATTTTTTTTCTTTTGGAGAGGTTTTAGCTACAGGTCACGTGTGCTCACCAGAAAAACAGAGAGAGGCAGAGAGACAGAAAGCAAGAAATCACCCCCCAGGGGAGATGGCCATGCCACAATCCCTTTTCCATTCTCCTCTCAGGATCTTGGGCACGCACGCATACGCGCCTGGCAGGAGTTTAAGCCTCCGGGTCCGGGACTCAAACTGCAGTCGACTATATGGAAGTCCAGCGACATAGCCATTATGCCAGCTGCTAGCCCCTATTTAATTTTTATTTATTATTATTATTTTAAAATTTGCTACAGGGCACATATGCTCATGAGAGAGGGAGGGAGAGAGAGAAAGAGAGAGAGAGAGCGTAAGCTGCCAGTCTGGGACTTAAACCATGGTCGGCCATGTACGAGTTCAACATTCAACACCTTAACAACCATTCCACCTCTGGCCCCAACAATTTTTTAACCCTGTTTTTTTTTGTTTGTTTGTTTTGTTTTGTTTTGTTTTACTTTATTCCTTTCTTAGGCTTTAAGGGTTAACAGGTGTTTATAGCTTCTGTAATTACTGTAATCTGTAGCTATTGTAACAAATAAGCCTGTTTGCTTAGAAGAGGAAACTGAAGTCACTTGATTTTAGACAATGGTAACAGGAATGCAACTAGGACTGGAGGTTTCAGTTGAGAAATCTTATGAGATTGTTTGTCCAAGAGACACAATGTAACAGTTTAAATTAGGAAAATTATAATAATGTTATCATTCAACATAATAGTTACTCACAGATGTTTAGATTGTTTTGTTAAACAGTATAGCTTAAAGAAAGTGTAGCTTTCCTTAATTTATCAATGTCACAAGGCTGAGTTAACAGATTCAATGTCACCATAAGAACATAAACAGGGTCATAAATGTCATGTGAAAGGAAAAAGGTGCTTAGAACAATTTTGGGAAAATCGTGAGGAATCGTGAGTGAAAGAGTAACACTGAACTAGCTAGATTTACGTTACAGACAACAATGGCTAAACGAGAAGTATAACAATACATGACATGCTGGAGGTTCTGTTCCTAGAGTTGGTTGTGAGCTTGTTCACTCTTAGCCAGCTAAATATACTGTTTCTCCCTCCTTGCTCTGCCTCTCCATTATTCACAAAAAGGACAGAGCGAGAGAGAGAAAGTGAGAAATCAGCCCCTGGGAAGATGGCCACACTGCCATCCCCTCGCCTCTCCTCTTGTCTCAGGATTCTGGGCATGCACACACACATGCCTGGTGTGCTTTCAGGCTGCCAGGTCAGGAACTCTAACTGTGCAGTTGTCCATGTGGGATCCAGCTGCTCTAACCTCCACGCCACCTGCTTGTCCTCATTTCTCTTCTTATAAGGGTACTAATCCCCATCAACCTTAAAACGGCAATGGGTATAAGCAAAATAAAATTAAAAAATTAAAATCCCAACAAAATCCTGCTGTCTCTAGCCAAAACAAACAAAAAACAATAAAGGGATGAACAAGACGAAAAA